ATGCACCTAGGCTTGTTTAGTTATCTGTGCTCATTTGGAGCTGGGTGTATGTGTGTGTTCACATTAATGTCCCCTTTCCTGGCTTATCTTAGTTTAGTTGTCTTATGAATTAACAACGTAGCTTGATGATAAGTTATAAATCATTTTAGTGTATTGTTCACCATCCCTTACAGATACTTACACAGCATATATTATTAAAAGATATTGTGGTAATGTGTTCTGGTATATCTCTGATTTTTTTCTGTTCTTGGTTGTATTTTATAAATAATTACTCTTTTATTTGTTCATGTTGTTTGTCAAAAACACATTTGTCCAACATTAAATTTTGATAATTCTCACACTGTTTTTTACTCTTATTATATATGCTTGGTGATCCATGATCAGTGATATTCTGGTTACAACTGTAATTACACTGAGGATTCATGGCACAGGTGGCAAACTTAAAAAATTAGATGTGATTTCATACTCTTTCCATATTTCCCTCTCCTCAGTCCTCCCTTGCTTTTGAGACAGGGTAATAATGAAACTGGGCCAACTGTGTATAATTGAAAAAAGTCATATGCCTCTTGGCTTAAATTCAAATCTAGAAACAATTAAGCTCAGCAAGGAAGGGACTTTCACTGAAAGCTTAGTGGCTGAAAGCAAGAGCCCTTGTACCAATCACATAGTCAACTTATCAGTACAAAGGAAATGTCTAGAAAGAAATTAAGCAGTGCTCCACTGAGCTTATAAATGACAAGAAAGCCAAAGAGTTGGTCTGTTGATATGGAGTACTCTGTCCAGATCAAACCTGGCCATAAATTCCTTTAAGTCAAACCCTAATAGAGAACAAGTCCTTAACTGCCATTCAGTTCTGTGAAGGTGAGCAATGTGAGGAAGGTTCAGAAGAAAAGTTGAATCTAGAAGTGGTTGATTCATGTGGTATAAGAAAAGATTCATTTCTATTCAAAGTACAAATAGTTGATTGAAACAACTAGTAATGATGTAAAAGATGTAACAAAGTATCAAAAAATCTAGCTAGAACAATTTAAAATGCTAAAGATTCAAAGCTGACTTCCAAAATATACCAACAGTCTTCTATTGAAAGATGACAATACCTAAGAGTTTCATAGCTGGAAACAAATGTCAATGATGTTGTCAGTGATTCAAAACTCTGAGTGTTTCATGTGTCAGGTGCTAATATAACTAAGAACTAAGTTAAATCAGATGATCATCCACCATTGTGAAAATCCGCTTGAGGCCCCTTAAATATAGTACATCTTTCTACTTTGCTTTTGCTTTCTGAGTGCAACAAAAATTAGGTGACAGAACAATTATTTGCAGGATATTTTATGGAACATTTAAGCCCAGTATTGAGATCTACTTATTCACACACAAAAAAGAAACAATTCTTTACAAAGAATTATTTACATTACAAATAATTATTTATATCATTGTTATTAGATTAGATAGGAGTAATATATAAATATTAATCCCAATTTGAAGTGATCTTGGTCAATGAAGAACAGTTTAATGAGATCATTTTTTTCTGTTTGATAATATAGCATCTGTTCTGCATCTCTGGGTTCAAAAAATAATTTCACATCCAAATCTTGTTATTTGAGAAATACATTTTAAAAGGCTATTTCTGTCATACAGAAAATCTTTGGTCAAGATTCATTATTAAATTCCATTAAGGATATTTATGATTGGTGGAAGGTCACAAAGTTTACATGAATAGGGTCATGAAGTTGGTTGATTCCAACTTTCATGGATGATGTTGGGTTGCACATTTACATGGATGAAATTTACCTCAGATATGGGGGGAATAGTAAAAGAGCTAAAAACACTAGAGGGTTTTGAAGACCTGTGTGTACTGCTACAGCATCAGGGGATAGAAGACTGCATTTTATGGATAAGCACAGGAGCTCAATCATCCTAAAAAAGTTAGTTAATGAATATGATGTCAACTTCGTTGATAAAGGCAAACTGAGTTTCAAAGGTTGGCTTTGGCTCTGAAAGGAGTTTCACAGTCAGCAAAATGCTATTAGGCAGGAGGCCCTGCTACTGAAAAACCTTTCCTAAGGGAAATAATCACCTCCAGTTGCAAACGTCAGTCCTGTCTGCTCTAAAGATCTTGCTGAAGCCGCTGCCACTCTGATCAGTCAGCAGCAGCAGCATCTGAATAAATCAGATGGTCACTAACTTGTTCTGCTTGTATGAAGAGGGTCTACACAGTTGGCCAGCTGCTCGCTATGTAGTCCAAGTTGGTTGAAGCATACAGTCCTCCCTATTCACCTTCCTATGTTCTGGGATTTAGATTTGTAACATTGTAACCAGTTAATTGAGTCTTTTTTTAAAAAAAAAACATAAAACATATTTATTGTTTTGTGATATGATATTATTGGAAATTTTTACAAGTCATACATAATATATATGTAAAATTTAAATGTACTTGAAAACAAAATTGTTTCTATGTCTTGTGTTTTGTATATATGTAATATTTATATATACATGAAAACAAAAAGATATTTCTGAATCTTGTGTTTTTGTGAAAACCACTTCATTCCTATGGTGTGGAACTGAATCAAGATTTTTTAAAAATGAAAACCTGTAGTTAACTTTGAATTAAAAGAAATATTTAATAAAGTATAATGTTGAATACCATATTAAGTTGTCTTCTTAACGATAAGTGAAATTATCTGTTCTAAGTTCACAAATAAGATAAATATTGAAGACTGTCCATATTTTATTTGAAATAAAATTAAATAACATAAAAAAACAGTATATATTTTCTGCCAGCCGCAGAAATTTCACAGCGTTAGGTATATAGAGGGCCCAGAATCTCCTGAATGTAGCTCAATGAATAAACAGTAGATAGAAGTATCAACTGAATCATTCAATTAGATTATTAACAATTCTTAAATAAGAATTCTATTCCTGGACCAGTTCTTTCAATCAACCTATGGCTCAAAACACATTTATAATTCTGTGAGACTGTCCGAGGCTCTGCTCTTTGCATATGATGTTTTGAAACATCACCACCTGTAGTGTTTCAGTTAATATTTCAAAAAATGTATTACAGCTGCTTACTGCTAATTTACTCAAATAAAAACATATAATTACTCATAAGGAAAAACTCAATTTGTCTTAAATCATTAATCAACAAATTAAATTAGTTACTAATTTTCCTGTTTCTTGAATGAAATAATTATTTTCACCTGGAAAAGATGAAATATCATGAAAAAACCTCTCTTGAAATATTTAATTGGCTGGGCATTGGTGGTGTACACCTTTAATCCCAGCACTCAGGAGGCAGAGCCAAGCAGATCTCTGTGAGTTCGAGGCCACCCTTGTCTATAGAGTGTGTTCCAGGACAACCTCCAAAGCAATACAGAGAAACCCTGTCTCGAAAAACCAAATAAAGGAAAGAAATATATAATTGATGCTATACACATATATGTCTTCTCAAATGCTCAGCCTTCATAAAGATGTAAGACATGGCCACAGTCTAGTCTCTGTTCAGATTCCACTTCCCAGCTTTTGTCAGAGCCCAGATGACATCACATCCCTCATAAGTCACAACACCTGATGCCACCATAGAGGCTGCTCATGTTCAGTTCTCTGCCCAGTTAACATGACAGTTTCTACCTGTCCCTCTTCCCAGTTTAACTTTCTTCCTTCTGGTTTGTCCCTCCCACCGCCCCTTCCTCTGTTTTCTACTGCTTGTCTCACAGAGTCTGTGATGTTTTCTTAAAAGCCTCCACTTTGTTCCTTAACTCTTCTTCCCTGATACATAGTTCCCTTAGTTAGACATGCCTTTATCTTCAAGAGAAGCTAATGTCATTTCTCTCATACATAGGACAAGAGCTTTCTAACTCGTGTGGTTCATAGTATAAAATATTTGTTTTATGTATTTCCTCCCCAGGAATTTATCATCCAACTTTTCTTTGTATAGCCAATGGCTGTTATATAGGTGTTAGCAAAATGTTATGGGATGAAGTTTTTAAAAACTGAAACTTATCACAATTACTTGATTATTGACATGAGAATTTAGTAGAATCCAGTCATTTGTTGATATTTATGGCCTTATATAAACCACTGAGTAACCTTTACCTGGATTGCTAGTTTTCTTTTGGAAAGGCTTATACTCCGTCTATATAAAATATTTATGAAAACTACAAGTAATTAGGAATGTGTAGATGTATACCAGCACCTACAATTTGAAGAGCAGTTCATTAAAACTTCTCAATGCTTTTCTGTGATTAGCCAAAGTAAGTATAGGTCTACCTAAGACCAAGTGCAGATGTAGACTTTACAGAGATTGGTGATAACAGCAGTCACTGGAAGAGACCTTAGATACAATTAATCCAAATTCTAACTGTTTAGGAAAAGAAAATGATGGTCAGAGTCAGAGAATTACCAGGGAATAAGAAAAATATGAAAGATATAAAGCAACAAAATTTTATAAAATAACATTAATCACATTTTGTTATAATGACTTGTATGTTTTCTTTAACCCTGAACTGTAAAAGTCCAGAACTTGTGTCAGTTTTAATCAGTGTTATACATAGTACAGTGCTTTCCAGAAATTGTTGTATAAATGTTTGAGTAGATGTTTGTTAGATGCTAATTTTGGGCTTATATTCAACCTCACAAATCCTTTCATTTTTGTAAATAGCAATGATGCCTATATTTTAGACCACTGTTAGAAGAAAATGAAATCAATTGAGAAGTGTTTCTAAATGGACTTGTCAAAAATATGAAATAAACCTTAATGAATGAAAGAATGAATAAGAAAATAAATGAGGTTAAAGCCCATTTATTTATATGTTTCTCTTAAAAATTAGTAGTACACAGAAACTTAGGAACAGCTGTTATAATCTCTTGCAGCATGTTATCAAAAACAAAGGATATATATACTGAAAACTCAGTAAGCAATAGAGTACATGTAATCATTACAAATATTTGATCTCTTCTACACAGTGTTATTGTGGAGAACAAGGTAAATATTGAAATACCTGATAAAATTCTAACTTCTGCTTCATTGCCCATTCTTGTGCTAGCTGGGTTCCGAGCTGTGCATCGGTAGGTTCCAATGTCCCCTGGTTGAAGTCTGCTGATCTGCAATGCTCCAGAAGGCAAGACCACCACACGGGAGTCTCCTGGAACTGGGATGAGGTCTTGTTGATTTTTCTGCCAGTGTATTGTTGGCATGGGTTCCCCAATGACTTCACACTTGAGTAACACTGTATCTCCCATGAAGGCTGTGATAGATTCTGTCTGGGAAAGGAACCTCAGTGGTCCTAAGAGAAACACAAAGAACAGATGAGTCTTTCAAATAAAGGAAAATAATTAACAATATCTTTTGTTCTTTATGAGATACTGTATCTTGGAGCATATACTCTCAAATTATGTTTAGTCTGCTGACATATTATATCATATCAGGCACAGCAAGTAGATTACTTGGCTAAGACAAGATGACAATATTATCTTGTATAATAGTGTCTCTAGAGGCTTCTTTAATTATAACTGTTGGTTAACAAAAAAAGAAACTCATGTAAAATAAACAGAACAGATAAATTTAGTCTAATTTTACAAATGAGGACATTGTGCTTTGAAAATTACAATTCCACATGAAGGATAATGATGGTATTATGTGTCAATGCTACAAATGGGATCTTGCTTTTTTGAATCCCAATGTGCTACACTGTCTAAGTTACCTAAAATTAGATCAATATATAAAAAGCTACCAGGATTCAAGAACTGACTGTTTAGTGTAATTTGAGACAGTTCCAATAAAGAAGAGAGATATTCACTTGCAATTATAGAAACAGAAAACAGTCAATGGTTAGTTTGACAGTTTAATGTGAGTGTTCACCAGTATTTCCCTGGTGTGGTTGCAGTGTAGAAAAGAAAATCCTAAAGTTTTAGTGAGACTAGTTTTTATGGGCCACTTATACATATGAATTATTTCATACCATGTTTAATTTCCTGGTGTGTGCAGTGAGACTATAGTTAGTCAGCATGACTGCTTTCATGTTCATGTCAAGTGACATGTGAAATGGTTTGTAGAGATGAGTAGGGATGAAAGGGAAAGAAACTGATCACCATTGAGCAAAGCATGGTGAGTAAGAAACTCTACCTTGATGCTGCATTGGAGAGATACTCTGACCTTGTCTCATGAAATCTTTCATGAACAAGAGTATATCATCATCCTAGACTTTAATCCTTGAGATTTTTCTAGTATTTAGTGAGTCCTAACAAGCCTGCATGAATTGTATCATTATAAAACACTGGACATATGTTTCTAGAACTAATAATTTTTTGGTTCTTGCTTTAGTCATCATTCTTATATTTTGATTTCCCTTTAATCTTTTCATTATAGGAAAATGTTACAATAAAATTTTATTAATTCATCTTTCTGGGCTTCATTGGACTTTACTAATTATATTTAATGGTGTTACAGTGTTTAAAATTAATTTGAAATTACAGCAGAATTTCCCATATCTGGAATTAAATCATGTCAAAAAAGTGTTGATTTTTTTCCCATCAATATTTCATCAATGACAAATTCTATTGTGATCCACTTTCCTATTGCTACTTTGAACTTCAGTCTGTTAATTCCTCCAAACCTAATTTTTTTCATAAACTGAAAGGCTGGAACAAAAGGTCAGAGGTAAATGGACTGGGTTAAACACAATTTAACATGAGAGGCATTAAGAAACATTATAGTGAAGTTTCAGACCTAGGTCAAGGGAAAACTTCATATCCTCTTCAAATATTAGGGTTTATAGTCAATGGTGTATAAAGTTATTTCTGCACTTCATGTAGAATAGGTTCATGCTGCTAGAGACTACTACTATTATATCTCTCCCTAAACTACTTGAAATCATGGTGACATAATAGTAAGGAGCCACAATATTCTTTAAAATGAAGGATTAATACAAGATCATGTAGGTACTTCATATTGACTTGTTAGTTGAAATGTATTCCACATAAGTGGGATATAAAACTACCTATAGGTTTCCTAAAGTTAAAACTCTGGAATTTGGGTCTATGGAACCACCTGGACCAACCTGAAAGAGGTATTTCCAAAGGGCACCAGGCACTTGTGAAAGTTTACTTTTCCAATCAAAAGAACCCAACTATGACTAAGTTAGAGCTATTCTGAGTGCTTGGGAAAACAATAAGAACCCATTAATTTGCTCCCTGGCTCATGGATCAAAGTCCTTTCTAGGCTCTAAGTACAGTTTTGAATGTATATGAAAGAAAAAGATGCAATATATTAATCTGTTAATCAGTGTGGATTAAAAGGATGAAATTGAAGAGTGATTGCTATATTATAAAGAAACTACAATGAGTAGGAGCATTATTATAAAGCTTATTTTAGGATACAAGTTTCTGGCTTGTTTAATAGCATTCCTTCTTATCTTCATTGTTAGTGATTATCTTATAATTAAGGAAAATAGTTATGAATAATTACATCATAATATATTATAGTAAATTTATACAATAACAATATAGTTCATTATATGTTAGAATAAAATATATTAGGTAAGCTGGAAAAACATCTGGATACTTTTATACATGGTAACACATAGTTCTACATTAGTTAGAGACATCATACAAATTCAGGACCACTGTGTTCCATGTGATTATCAATAATATTAAAAATTTAGCTAGCAAGTTAGTGCTAGAGCAGAAAATACAGAAAAGGAATTCAGATTGATATTCAACAATTGTTTTCCTATGTCAATCTCATCTAGCTACCATATTAGCATAATGAGACAATGGGATTGGCTCCTAGTCTACAAGCTATTATGCTGCATTGTAGGAACCTAACAGAATTTTAACAGGCTGAGAAGGAAACTGACAGGATTCAGGGAACTCAGAGACTGAGTCAGTCATCCATGTTGTTGTAAGTATCTTTAACAAACCCACTGGTCCACCAAACTAAATTTGAGTGGCATTACTTGTTTGGTCTGTAGTTGGTGTTGTATTTGGTGTGAATTGTCATTTATCAAATCTCTCCAGGCAAAATCTTATAATACATATTATTTCAGACATACCACCATGCTGGTGTCAGATCTTAAGAAAGAGAAACAGCATGCTGGGTTCAATGCCTCATGCTGGGGGTTAGACAGTAGAAATACATTCAATATTAAAGTTAACAGTGTAGCATAGGCAATTTTTGAATAATTGATTGTGAGCATGGAAAATTATAAACTGACTTTTTGTCCTTTATTTTTTATCTTTATGAAGAAAACAACACAACAAACAAGTAAGTTTATAGGTTTTTGTGTGGCTTGAATTACTGCTTCCAATATGGCACTAAAGTTTGTTATGAAATATCCTTGTTGTAAAGAAGATGTTATATTATATTAATATAGTAGCATGTTGCAGTTAATAAATTCACTCAAACACATAAAAATGAAATACAATCTATTTTCAGAAATTGTTAAATACAATAATGTAAAGTAAATATTTGTGCATCAAGTGGCTAGGAGATTAAGTACATCTTCATGAAGATGAGTTTCCATGTCAGCAAGAGTCTGTTCAAACCCAAGAGATCCATGTGATCTGTTGTTGGCGTAGTTTCCTATCTCTGTTCTTTGCTCAGTCAAGTCCATTCCAAATATCAGAATGTTCCTTTATTGGGGAGTTCATGGTACACCTGGTAAACATGGCTATGTTCAAATTTTTGTTATTATCTTACTGTCCAAATGCTGCAAAAGAGTTTCCACTGTATTTTTAAAATTGTATACCCAGGAATCTAGCATGCTCCCAAATCATTTTTCACAACTGTTGCAAAACAATTCTGAACTCTGTTGAACTTAGCTGAGTCTCTAAACCTATTCTTCTCTGGATGTTATTTCCTTAGTATTTTCTCTAGAAAGGGATATGCTTTTCTCTTAACATCTACCTGCCATAACTGTAGGCATTCTAATAGCATCAGGTATAAAAAAACCTACACTTTTCCCAGTCTCACTGAAAATCATCTTCCTACCTTAAATTTTTATATCACTCATAATTTACAGATGCTATGACACAGTCAGTGTATAAATCAAACTTGAAAATTGCTTTCATGTTCATGTTATGGTATCTGTATTTTATTTCCACAGAGTATATCCAATACTTACTGACAATAAAAAAATAAACATTAATATTTGCTTAGGTCCTATGTAAGTTTAAATGCTTTAAAAATGATGCCCACAATTTGAAAACTGACACTACTTTTACATTTATCAATTTCCAACATATCCTGGGAACTCGGAATAGTAGATCACACGCCATGGTTCCAGATTATCTGGGGTCATTTTCCTACTTTATCTCTTCATTAGATTATGCTTAGTTTGGGAAGCTTCTCAATTTTAATATTACACTACTCGAAGCACCTTGATTAGTGACTTCACTTAGTTTCCACAAGTTATTTCTTCCTTTGTGTATGTGTGCTAGGAACTGAACTTAGGGCTTTACATAGGCTACTAAATGTATCACCACTGTGTCGTATTGCCAGCCTATTATAACTATTTAAGTATTACTATACACACCCACACAAAAAACACTGAAATGAGTACACTGAAACATGTGTGTTTAAAATAGGTTTTGGGACTTAAAATACCTTATTTCTAAATGAAAATTGCTCAAGGTGAATTTCTTCTATTTGGCAATATTCCTGATCTTCCAGTAGCAGCAGATAACTGGGTAAAAATGCCCTTGTTTAGTCAGTACAACTGACCCTCAATATTCATGAGTCTTCAACAATGGCTGATTGAAAATATTTTAATTGTATTTGTGCTAAGCATGTGCAGGCTTTTGTGTCATGTTCCTTAAGAAACATAACTATGCACATAGCATTTACATATTAGATTTGATAAGTCAGCTGGACATGATTTAAAGTATTTGAGAGGATGTGTTCTTGCAAAACTGACATCTTATGCAAGGATTTTAACATCTGCAAATTTTCATTTCTACAGAGTCCTAGAAGCAACTCCCCCATTCACTGAAGAACAACCCATGTTCTTCACTCACTTAAATTCTATAAACTAACTACAATCTGGAGTGCTATACTATTCAAAGTAGCACACAATCCTATTTGGAGTGCCTTAGGAGGGCTTCTATCTTTATCCTTGAGAAAAGGTTGTTTCCTAAAAGGAAGTGTTGTCAAGATGTCTACCTTCACACCCAGCCTGGCCCTGGATGTTACAACAGCTTTATATCCAGGAACACCTGTAATTGTGAAAGCATCCCACATTAGTCTACCCACAGGTTCAGACATGTCCTGCACTACCATGTGTTAACA